CTGAACTTGCCAAGCGCATACTTCGCAAGTAGCTCCTTGTCATGGGATGGGTAGTTCTTCTCTGCAGCTTTAAGCTATCGAGATCCGAACGCGATCATCCGATCTCGTCCCTCGGCTTCTACTTGCAGCAGTGCACAGCCGTTGGCAAAGTCCGAAGCGTCACAGACGATGCTGAAGTGCATGCAAGAGGCTGTATTTGACCCCGTCAAAAGCCTCCTGATGTTCGGTGTTTCAACACCATCTGCATCTTTTTTAAGGAGATTGGATAATGGCCAGGCCATTTCTGCGTAATTTATGCGGTACTTGTGCAAATAATTGGCAACACCAAGCCACTTACGCAAGTCCTTCTACTTCTTCGAAACCGGCCAATCTACAATGGTCTTAAACTTAGCGGGATCCGCCCGAAGGCCACGCTTCCCGATGAAGCACCTTAAAAAGGGAATCTCTTCTGCACCAAAGATGCACTTGTCTGCATTTGCGTACAGTTTGTTCGTGCGCATGCACTCGAGCTCAGCTACTAAATGGACGATGTGATTCTCCTCATCTGCCCCCCGTGCTCCGCACGACTGTGAACAAAAATGTCGTCAAAGTATGTCTGTGCATACGCCCTGTGGGACCTGAACAACTGCGTCACAAGACGATTGAATGTAGCTTCATCCAGGAGCGATGACGAGCTTATTTCCTCGTCCGGTCGTACCATGACCGCTTCGGCCAAATCGCCTGCCTTCAAGGCACTGCCGGACACTCCAAGAGACATCTCGTGCACCTCATGAAGCGCATCTACTGCAGGCATAGCCTCGAGGCGGACGTCGCTATCTTCCTCCCTCGTCATACCATTGACGAGGGTGTATAAATCTGCGCCATCGTCTACGGTAGGCACACCCTGGATCAGGGTCGACGCCCGGCGTCTTGTAGCCAGCATACGGCGTCGCCGTTGCCTCTGTACAGAGATTCTATGTCTCGATGAGACCAGGGTGAACACCACTCCGCGTCGTCCGGTGTCATCCTCACTGTCCGCTCCTTTGGGGCTCCGAAGTTATCTACAACTTCCAACGATAACTGCCAGCCCCGCAGTCTTCGTCCAGTGGATAACGTGCCACTCCACGCGCATCCGAAGGGCTGTGCCCAAGATGCCTCGAACTCTGTCCGACCACGCCATCAATGGTATTCAGCGACTGCTTCGCGACGAGAGCAGTGCTCTGTGGCTTACGTGCCACTCCACGCGCATCTGAAGAGCCGTGCCTTCGATGACTCGGCCCTCGGCCGACCATATCACGCATGACATGCAGCGACCGCTTTGATACTCGAGCAGCGCTCAGTGGTTAACGTGCCACTTCATGTGCATCACGGGGCCTCGCATCGATGACTCGGCCCTTGGCCGACCATGTTACGCATTACAGGCAGCAACTGCCTCGATACTCGAGCAGCGCTCTGTGGTTTACGTGTCACTTCACGTACATCACAAAGGCCTCGCCCTCGATTCCTCGGCCCTTGGCCGACCATGTCACGCATGACAAACAGCGACCGCTCCAAAACTTGAGCAGCACTCAGTGGGTCACGTGCTACACCACGATCGGCCCGCAAACCACGCCCGGGACTCCTGTCCTATCACCGTTGGTGTCCACCATCTCGGTCATTCCAATGTCCAGCATGTTGACCGTCTCGGTCCAGTGCTCTCGCCAATAGCGCTTTTGTCTCCTAGCAG